AAAAAATCTATTTAGTAAATTAAGTATACTGAAGTTATAATAATTACCTTTATCATTGCAATTGGAACATGGTTTTGCCTGGTCTGTAGGTCTCTGGGTGTCTGGTACTTTCCTCTTCTATATTATAAAGAAGGGATTATCCCACTATAGAAAAAGCTTTGCTGAGACATAGGAAATCTTGATTGTAGTCCCTATAATGGTGCAAATTTCTTTAGCTTTGTACACAACCTCCTTGTGCCTAAGTTTTCTCGTCTCCAATACAGGATTTAAAATACCTTCCTCTTGTACTGAATGGATTTTACAGAATGAAATAATGTCAAAGTGATTAGGAAAATTGCAACACCCTATACAGAATCAAGATTTTATGAACTTAGGCCTATACCGGTTTTTCTCCATCATTGTTTCAGAAATTCCTTATTTGCACAGGAAGACAGGCCTAAATTTTGCATTTGGATATTTTAGGTAATTATCAACTCCAGTTTTTATTTTGTTCTTAATATCTTTCAGATTTGGAGTCTCTCTACCTTCAGCCTTCTTCACACTTTTATTAATGAACATGCTCGGCAATCCATTTTCAGAAATATCGGAACCGGAGTGATGCAAATTGAGACAGGGCCCGCAAATCACATTTTTTCATGTGGAGCTGATGGAACAATGAAAATGAGAATACTGCCGGATCAGTTTAGCCCATTGAATGAAGTGTTGAAAATGATGTGAAATTTATGCTGTAACACTTTGACAGTAAAATGTATAATTTGTTACCTATTCCATAGAAGTGGCCAACACATGTAATGTACAGTGATTACTTTCTAGTCCACAAATGAGCTAAGCATTCTTGTTTTCATATTTATTTTAAGGAGCTTTGCCCAGGATGCACTGATGCCTTAAAAATTAACAAGGTCATTCAGAATTAGACTATTTTGCCCAAAGTAGAATGTATAAGTAAAGAATACATATTTATAGTATGTTATAGTGAGTATGTCATAGTGTTAAAGGAGTTTTATTTTCTTCTGGTTGATAAACTCTTCTGCAGATATCTCTGCATGAATTTCTTTCATAGTTAAAGTACCCTTTCTGTAAAGGCAGCTGCACATCAGTCATCACTTCATCACACTCTCACTTCCTTTTTTAAACTTAGACATCTCAAACTCTGCTTCTCTTGATTAATGACAGATTGATATTTCGGTAAGAATCCAAACAATAATGAATATCTTCATTAAAACTGTCCCTGGGTCTTCAGTGATAAATGAGCCAAATGGCTCATTGTGTAAATTTTCATCAGTTTCTCTCTGGAGCCCAAGTATGTGTGTGTATACATGTGTGGTTGTGTATATATGTAATATACTTTACACATCTTATCCGAGCTTACTTTGTGTATATATAAGAGAAAACTACAAGCCTTTTCATGTGTTTTTGTGCCATAACAACTACTGCCACCAGAATAACAACTTTTTTTGCAGCTGTTTTTGTTCTGTTTTGTTTTAATTTTTGAATTCCCATTTAAATTTTCAAATAAATTTTAGGAAGACTTCCAAGATTATTGTTTTAAAGATTACATTGAGTCAAATAAGTCTTAACAGGCAATAACGATTCTGTGCTAGCATATATGAGACACTTAAAAGTAAGTTTATAAATTTGTGAAAGCATTTTTTTGAGCATCAAACAAACATTTTACTTAAATTTTATTTTTATTTATTTTTTTAGGTGCTTTTAGTCTCAAAGTTTTGAAAACCTTATAGCAGTGTTTTTAGAAACAAATGTGAAAACAGTCATATTAAATAGGTAGTATTTACAAATATATACCTATAAAATACCTGCCAGATCTACCATTAATAGAAAACAAACTAAACCTTATATTTTATTATTTTTTGCCAAAACATATTATTTTATTATAAAATATGACCAAAATATTAAAAATGCACAATGCTTGTAACTTAAATGTGCTAACCCTAATTCTCTCTGTTTTGTGCTATACTTTTTCTGATTCAGAATTATAGAAAACTTGATAAATACTTGATTTTAACCAAGGAGAGAGAGGCAGATGGAACGAAGTGTTTAAGGGATGATTGTATGCTATGTAGCTTAAATATATTTTGTTAATAGGAACTATGAGAACATTTTTATGTAACAAAATATGAACAACTATTATCTTGAAAATCAAAGAGTTAAATAAAGCAAAGAAATGAAGGGCTGGTAAAATGCATTTTGTAATATGCTCAGGATACTTTTATTTTAAAAGTATATTGTTGAAGATTTTGTAAATTGTATTCATAATTTTAAATGCGTGAGCAAGTTGCAGTGAAAACACTGTCATTATGTACAGAGTTTATGTGCACATAATAACCTTTACCTATAAATTGTGCAATAACAATATGACTTTTCCATGGAGAAATCTGTGACAGCATTGCAAACAATATCATTGATGTAGTTAAGCTTAAGTTATTTTGCAGTGATTTCTTCACAAATCAAGATTCAGAAGGTTTTAAACACTTTCAGTGAGATAAAAAATTTATTATGCTTATTAGAAAAAAGGCATTGTGGATGAACAATTAAGCATTTTAATTGAGGGTTTATATGAATAATAAATTATGTAAGCCCATATGTATTTACATACAGAATCATAATATTTTAAATAAACAATCATACAGTAACTTTTTTAGCATGCTGTTGTTTTAAGTAATATTTATGCCACTTTAGTTGACTTAAAGTATATGTTACATTTGAAAATGCACAATTTCTGTATTTGTACTTGGTTAATGTAGAAAGGATTGAATAATTTTCCCAGATATCCTGTCCTTACTTTTATTCATATTTTTAACTTAATAGGTAAGCATTATTCAAAAAATGTGAGAATAAAAATAGTTGGGATGTTTAAAATGATGTATATGTGAAATAGGTAAATTTTCATCCACACTAATGGAGTGAATACATCAAAATACATTTTTTAAATTGTGCATTTTCTGAGAATGTGGCTTTGTAATGATGGAAGAATTCACAACATTGCAAGTCTCATTTTCTGAAATGTAGGAATTCTCTTAAGAATCATGAGACAGTCAACTTGTCCCCCTTACTTGCTCTCTCTTTGTCTTACTCAAATTCACTTCTCCCTTCTCCTTTTGTAATTACTTTTTCTTAAAAAATCATTGTGGAAATTTCTCACACTGGTCTCAACAATCAGAACACAATACAAAGATACCCACTTAAAGATAACCTTAGAGAGGTGAGTGATCTTTTTAACAGGGTTGGAAACCCAGATAAACATTTTACTAAACAAATTTCAATGTCATATGGCAGGGGGCCACAAAGTTAAAAGAACAGGTAGACTAGAAGAAATATATGTACAATAGTAAAAGGAAAAATATTAATGTCCCTGTATACAAAGATAATTTTTAAATAGATTATTGAAGAAATCAGCAAACTATTCACAGAACAGGGCATTGAAAAAGTCAGCAAGCATAATGTATGTTCATTCTTTCTAATGGTTAAAGAATGTTAAAAAAAAAAGTGATACCACTCTTTCTCTATCAATTGGCATAAAGTCTAAACAGTGACAACATCAGTTTTGGTGAAGGTGCAGGAAATGGGCACACGGAAACATTGCTGGCAGAACTAAACTGNCCACCTTCCTTAATTACCTTAGCTGGATCTTCTAGATAACTTGCTGCAGCTTCTCATCAGCACTTGCTGTTTCAGCTTGCACTTTCAAGTTATGAAGGTGGCTTCTTTCATTAAAACCTCATGAACCAACCTCTGCTAGCTTCCAGCTTTTCTTCTGCAGCTTCCGGGCCTCTCTCCGCCTTTATAGAAGTGAAAAGAAGGCGCTGCTCTCGATTAGTCTTTGGCTTAAGGAAATGTTGTGGCTGGTTTGAGCTTCTAGCCACTAAAACTTTCTCCATATCAGCAGTAAGGCTGTTTTCACTGTCTTATCATTTGTGTGTTCACTGGAGTAGAACTTTTCATTTCCTTCAAGAAATTTCCCTTTGCATTCACAACTTTAACTGTTTGGCACAAGAGGCCTAGCTTTCAGCCTGTTTTGGCTTTTGACATGCCTTCCTCACTAAACTTAATCATTTCTAGCTTTTGATTTAAAGTGAGAGACATGTGCCTCTTCTTTTCACTTGAACACAGAGAGGCCATTGTTGGATTATTAATTGGCCTACTTTCAATATTGTTGTATCTCAGGGAATAGGGAGGTCCAAGGAGAGGGAGAGAGATGGGTGAACAGCCGGTCGATGGGTAGAGCAGTCAGAACACACACACATTTATTGATTAAGTTTGCTGTCTTTGTGGGCATGGTTTGTGGACCCTATAATAATTAACAATAGTAGCATCGAAGATCACTGATCACAGATCATTATAACAAACATAATAATAATGAAAAAAATTGAAATATTGCAAGAATTCCCAAAATGGGACATAGAGAGACATGAAGTGAGCAAGTTCTGTTGGGAAAACGGCACAAATGGACTTGCACGATGCAGGGTTGCCACAAGCGTTCAATTTCTAATAACACAATATCTGTGAAGTGCAATAAAAAGAAGCACAATAAAGCCAGATATGCCTGTAGAGAGCCCAATGATATAGACCCACATGTATACAGTGTGGGTCTATTGACTGATTGTTAATAAAGACACAAAGATAATTCAATGGAGACAGTTTTTTCCACAAATAGTGCTATAATAATTATATGCTGATATATAGAAAAATGAACCTAGGTAAAAACCTCACCCCAGTCACAAAAATTAAAATGGATTGTAGACCTACGTGTAAAACACAAAACTTCTAGAACAAAATATAGGAGAAAGCCTAGGTGGCCTTGGGTTTGGTGATGAGTTTGTAGATGCAACACCAAAAGTATGGTATAACTCATGAAAGAAACAATATAGTCAAGATTTTAAAATAGCTGAATGGAAAAAAAGCATATGAAACAGTGTTCAACATTGTCATCAAGGAAATGCAAACTAAATTCACCATGAGATACTACTCTATACACTGAAGTGGACAGAATAAAGATCCTAGGATAACAAGTGTTTGTGAGGATGTGGAAAAACTGGAACACTCACTCACGATTTGCTGAT